TTTTTGTGGTGATCATATTAAATTCCACTCTCATAGCAATTTTCAAATACACATTATTATAAACTATAGTCATCTTGTTATACAGTAGGTTTTCAGAACTTACTCCTCTTTTATTTATTTATTTTATTTTTTAATTAGTTTTTGAGACAGAGTCTCACTCTGTCACCCAGGCTGGAGTGCAGTGGCACGATCTCGGCTCACTGCAACCTCTGCCTCTGGGTTCAAGTGATTCTCTTGCCTCAGCCCAAGTAGCTGGGACTACAGGCATGTGCCACCACACCTGGCTAAGTTTTTGTATTTTTAGTAGAGATGGGATTTCACCATGTTGGCCGGGCTATCTCGAACTCCTGACCTCAGGTGATCTGCCCATCTCAGCCTGCCAAATTGCTGAGATTAGAGGGTTGAGCTACCACGCTTGGCCTTCTTTTTTTTTTTTTTTTTTTTTTTATTTTGGAGCCTTGCTCTGTCATGGGATCTTGCTATGTTGCTCAGGTTGGACTTGAACTCAAGGGATCCTCCCACCTCAGGCTACCAAAAGTGCTGAGATTACAGACATGATCCACCTTGCCCGGCCATAATTCTTCCTTTCTAAAAGAAACTTTGGACCCTTTGACCAACCTCTTTTCCATTTCCCCACCCTAAGCCTGCCAGCTCCTGCAAACCACCATCCTATTTTCTACTTCTTCGAGTTCAACTTTCTTAGATTCCACATATAAGTGAGATCATGTATTATTTTTCTTTCTGTGCCTGGCTTGTTTCACTTAACATAATGTCCTCCAGATTTATTCCTATTGTTGCAAATGACAGGATTTCCTTTTTTAAGACTGAATAGTATTTCACAGTGTCTATATACTGCATTTTCTTTATTCATTCATCCATTGATGAACACTTGATCAAGACTTTGAGGCATTCTTCTCTATGATTCCCTCAAGGAATTGTGTTGCCCTTTGTTTCATGTTTTCATAAGAGATGTTGGATAAGAAAGGTTCTCTAAGTTTTATTATAGCTTCTAAAGCTGTTGTATCAGTTGGAATGCTTTTGACTGAATAGCAAACCCAACTAACAGTAGCTTAAACCAATTGGCATGTTATTTGTCTCATACTACAAGAAGTGTAGAAGTATGTCACTACTAAGCATTGTGCCAATGGCTCGATGATATCAGAGCTGATTATAAGATGGCAGCTTCCTCTCCAAATATCATAATTGTGCTTCAGACAGAAAAAAAAGTAAAAGGGATAACAAGCACAGGTGTTTCTCTAGTGAGGCTTTGCTTTTTTATTTAGGGAAGAAGATTCTTCCTATGTACTTCTACCTACATCTCATTGGCCACCCTTAGGTTCAAAGGAGGCTAGGAAATTGAGTATTTCATTTCCCAGTCTCAATAGCACAGGAAGATAATAGAGAAGATAGTGGGCATGGATATGACTGAGACGACCTACAATATCTGCCACATTCCATAAGACCCACTCTGTCTGATGAACCACAGTGGCATGCTATGACCCAGGAATTGGTTTTAATTCAGGTCCAGTGTTTAATAAATTCCAAGAAGCCAGCACGTTTTCTGTTTCCTGGTATGAAGGTACCCTAACAAGTAGCCATAGGTCTCTGAGGGAATAAGAGGAATGTGCAGAGTGCTATTATTATAGTGCTCTTCTTTAAGGTTATCTGGAAACAGGAGTAACATTGATAACTCTCAGGAAGACTGAATTGAGGAGATATTAATACCATTTGAGCTAAATTTGAAAGATGAAGTAGTAAAGAGGAAACAAGCTTCATGTTATGTTTGGATTTAAATCTCCTGGAGCTACAGTTTTAAGTTTACTTGCTTTACCAGTAAGGAGAAACACTAAATACAGGAGTCTGAATGTTTCCAACAGAAGAGCCACCACAATTTATTTAGTGACGGTTTATTTATAATGTAAACAAATTTCATTCCCTAGAGCAATATATTCTGTAAATTAAATGATCCACGAGGTATCTTATGCAGTTTTTCATGGCATGTTAACGTTTTGAAAAGAATAAACAGGAATCATACTGAACAGCTCAGAAATTGTGATTAACACTGGGTATCACAAGATACATTTTGCTCTTATATCAATTAGGACCCAAAAGGAAATAGATGGCAAATCAAAACTGGCATAATTTGGGAAGTGGTTAATAAGGGAGTATTTATAAAGGCAGGGCTTAGGGAAACCTGGAACCTAGAATGAAGTTATATGAAGAGGGTTACCTGGATCAGAGCTGAGATCACCCACATGGAGGGAGCTGGAGGAATAAATACCGTGACCTCACTCCTCAATTCCATTCTGCCAGGACTTTCTCTTGGCCATACTCAATCAGAAACCAGGAAGCAAGAGAACTTATCGATATGGTCTATAAGGGTCAGTCTCCAAAGAATGGAGCAGGGTGGATAAGGACAGACAGTTGATCTGGAGGGGCAAATGGAAGAAATACATGAATAAATGATATCATTTCCCATTTGTCTGACTTCTTTGTTCTGTTTCTGAGATCACATGACTTTAAATATTGTTTTTTTTAGAACCCACTACCCTCTAAACTACAGTATTTGGTATAATATCTTTTTTCTTCCCAAAGCTTATAATTGTGATACACAATTTCTAAAAAGTCAACTAAGGCTAAATCAATTTTTTTTGTTGGTTTTTGTTTTTGTTTTGAGATGGAGTCTCACTCTGTCTCCGGGACTGGAGTATAGTACCACGATCTTGGCTCACTGCAACCTCTGCCTCCCAGGTTCAATTGATTCTCCTGCCTCAGCCTCCTGAGTAGATGGGATTACAGGCGTGCGCCACCATACCCAGCTAATTTTTGTATTTTTAGTAGAGATGGGGTTTCACCACGTTGGTCAGGCTGGTCTTGAACTGCTGACCTCCTGATCTGCCTGCCTCGGCCTCCCAAAGTGCTGAGATTACAGGCATGAGCCACTGCATCCTGCCAGCTAAATCAGTTTTTAAGATAATGTATGTTTCTAGCAGTGGGGATCACATTTCAGGCAAAGAGAAGACCCCACTTAAAGGTTTTGACACATAAAAGGGCTGTGGGAACAGTAGGTTCTGTGGAGTTACCGGGAGGCAGAAATAGTGAGAAGCCTGGCATGATTATGAAAACACTATTTTCCATTCTAAAAGTTTAGGATTTCTTTAAAAAAAAAAAAAAACCGGGGAGGAGGAAACCAGTGGAGGTTTTTAGGCAGGGGAGTGAGAGCAATAGCACTGGCTTGAAAGGTAGAATGTAAAAACTAGATAAAGGAAAACAATGAATCCACAGTGAATAAAGTTGAAGATGCAAGTAGATTTTTACAAAATGGCTATTTGAGTGAATGACATCTCAGAGATAATCTTATTTACTGATAAAGAAGTTGAGGCCACTTTAGAAAGACCAAAGAAAAGGAGTGAAGGTCATGCCAAACAGTCACTGTGTAACAGTGCCGGCAGCAAACTCTGGTCTGTCTTCCCAACGCACCACTCCCTTGACTATTCTTCCCATAGTAAACATTTAAAAGCTGCTGTTTAAACCTGTTAAAAAAAACAAAAACAAAAACAAAAACAAAAACATGGCCACATTGTCAGAGAATCCAAAAAAAGGTAGCTTGGAGAGTAGAAGAGGCAAATGCAAAAGGAAAGCTACTACTTGGTACTACTAGGTGCAGTGTGATGCAAGTAAAAGGTAGAAAAAAAGATCTAATTTGGTATTTGGAAGTAAAGGTGCTGGTGAGAGGATTTATGATTAACCAGCGTTGTAACAAGAAACATCATCTTGTAAATAATTATTTGCAGAGGCGACAGATTCCAGATGAGGAACTTGGAGCCCAGTAGTAATAATACTGCACCTTGAACAAGAGATTAAATGGTAAGTGATGGGTGAATGCAGGGGCACAATTGTAACAGAATCTTAAAGGGAGAGAGGCCAGATTGGAAAGAAGTTTGTTTTTTGTTAAAGTGGAGATGGCAGTACAACTGAAGAGGACTGCTAAGATTGTCAACGCACAGTCCCCCTCAATTTGTCCAGAGGATAACGTATCCCTTTATATATATATATATATATATTTTTTTTTTTTTTTGCTTGGCCAACTTTAGTCAGGTTTCTGAATCTTCTGCTAGGCTCTTCTGTACACTTTCTTTGTAAAATCCAGTTTAAACAAAGAACTTTGCTAAGTCAAATTAGCAATAAACCCCTATCCTTGATAGCTGATCATCCTCATTATCTGATCAGGTTCTTCAGTCTCCACCATCACCCAGGTGATGCCTCATCATCTTGGCCTGTCTTCAGCAAAAATCCTATTAGGTGGGTTTAGCCAAAATCCCCCTTACCCTGATGTTTCCTCTTAGTAATTTTCCATTCACTTACCTCTGCTCCTTGGTTATAAATCTCCACTAGCCCATGCTGTATGGGGAGTTGAGCCCAATATCTCTTTCCCCACTGCGAGTCTCCGTTGCAGTCAGTGGTCCCCATACCTATTGAGATGGTCCTGAATAAAGTCCTCCTTTTTGTGCTTTAACAAGTGTCACTAAATACTTTTTTCTTTAACAATAGCCCGTTCTCCAAACCCCTAAGTCCACGATTGTTTAGTTTTCAGGAAACCTGAGTGAGCCCAAGGTCCATAGCATCGTGAGATTTGTGGGTTTAAGGCTGAATTTCTGTCCGTTTTTAGGTAAATGTTTTAGTGTGAAAGCTTGAACAATTGTTGGGAAAGCCTTAGATTTGACCCCCAAAATGACATTTTGCCGTTTTTGGAGGGGAGGGGTCACGGCGCTGTGTTTAAGATCAGGCGAGTGAAAGGCCCTAAACACCCTCCTTTCCTTTGGAAAGAAGTCTCTATGGAGGGAAAAGCAGGTAGGAGCAGCGGTCCCCGCCCTCGCTGGCGGTGGGGCGGGGCTGCGTGGGCGGGGCTGGGGCCGCAGGGGCTGCCAGGATCCCTGGGAGGGCCAGGCCTGCGCGCTGCGAACCCACGTGACTTTTTCGCCTCCCGAGACACCGACGCATGCGCATCGTGCCCTGGACCAGGCGACCGTGGCGCGGGTGGCGGCTGCTGTGGTGGCTGTGGGGACGGAGGCGGTGAAGTGCCATCTTCGGCTAGGTCGTCACAGTCTTCGGCTCATGGCATCGAGTAGCATCCATTATAAGGTCTGCGGGGGCGGGTTCCTTGAAATTAGCTGGGGGCGGAGGGTGGTACTTGGGACTGAAAAGGGCCTGCCCGGTTTCAGGCCGCGCTGTGGCCGCGGCCTCCCTCTCCCGCCCTGTTTGAGGCCTGGCTCGGACTCAGCGGCCAGTTGTCCATTCCTTTCTCCTTCCCACCTGTTGGGTGGAGCGGTGCAAGGTATTTTTTTCTTAGACCAAACGTTTCACTTGAGGGCTGCATTAGGTAGGGTGGGGAAGTGTGGGCCTCCTTCGCCTGGATTTAGGAAGATATTTGCGGGTAATTCTAAAGCCCTTGCTTCCCCCGGAGCTGGAACACAGCTGGAATGGCTGGAAGTGGAAGGAGCACATTCGCAGCCGCCAGAGGATTGGGAAGATAATATACATTCTATTACTAAGGCATGTGAGCGCCTTGTAGGGCACGTTCTGCCTTCTAACTACATAAGCAACACTTTTGCGACCCTAAGTCACAGCACCCAAAGCTTTTGGCAGGATACTTTAGAACAGAGAAAACAGACATCAGAGATCCTGGTAGGATTTTTTCAGGGAATCTGCTTAAGAATATTTAACTTTGGTAATCAGAGACCACCACTGGTGTTTTTCTCCAAAATCACATCTTTAAGTTAATTAATTCTTGAAGTTAATAAATAATACTGCTCAGTGTATTAGTGATGATGCCATAATACCATGTAAATTTATGCCGATTCAAATATTATTTTTTTCGTTTGATATTCATATGGCCTTCTGTTTGAGGACTTCAGATTATTTAGCAACTGATTTAATCTGTTCAGAAATAAACTTTGCTACAGCTGGAAAGCGTGAGGCTTGAGAAATCAAATTTCGGACAGAGAAGTATGAAACTCGTGTTGGAACTAAGTGTTTTAGGCTCTATGGGAGCTTGAATGGAGTGAAAAGAACAAGCGTTTACTGTCAGGTTTTCCTCCTCCCTCTAGATTTATAACCTCATTCTGGAGTTGCAAAAGTTGGAACTTTCCACTGTTCACTGTCTAGCAGGGATAAAGTGATGGAAGGGAGTTCTGTTAAAGAAGACTAGTATTTAGATTGTGAACTCTGAGGTAGGAGTTGAGCACAGATGGCTAATAGGTGGTTATGAGTCACGATTTGTTTAAAGTCTCATTATTTTTACTTGTGTATCTTGAATAAGAAGATGTTTAAAAGTCAAATGATAAAAATTGTATGTGCTGTTTTCGTGGTATGTTTTAACAAATCTTCATGGAAGATAGGACTTTAAAAAAATTTAAAAATAGCCAAAAGAGGAAGAAAGTAGTATAGTTCCAGCCAAATGGTACGTTTTCCAAAAAGCCGAGGATGGTGTAGACATTTATGTAAATGCATATACAAAATCTAGTTTCTAGAACACAGTGTTTAATATGTCGAGACCTTAAAAAGTCAGCCTATGACTACTTAGCCCCTGAAAACAGCTGCCAAAACCAGTGGTTATGATAGTCTCTTTTCTTCTTACATCCCACATCTCCAGATTCCCTTATTTGTGGATGAGATTTGTGTATTGCAAAGCTACTTGTTTTGCTCTACCCAAAACTCCTTTCAGTCTTTAGTGATGACTTCGGATTTTTATGTATTGCTCTGTTTATGAAAAAGAATAGTCAATGGTAAAATTTTTAAGTACCTCTACAGGAATAAGAAGCATACAGAGAATAAAAAAAATAAGGTATTAGGTCAAAAGACAGCGTTTCACTCTTGTTGCCCAAGCTGGAGCACAATGGCGTGATCGGCTCACTGCCACCTCCACCTCCTGGGTTCAGGTGATTCTCCTGCCTCAGGCTGCGATTACAGATGCGCGCCACCACGCCCGTTTAATTTTTTATAGTTTTAGTAGAAATGGGGTTTCACCATGTTAGCCAGGCTCGTCTCGAACTCCTGACCACAGGTGATCCGCCTGCCTCGGCCTCCCAAAGTGCTGGGATTACAGGCGTGAGCCACCATGCTCGGCCCAAATGTCCCATTTTTAATTAAGTGTTGGTAATTGAAGTCATCCTCCAAAAGACCTTTTAAATTTTAAGATTGCATAATTGTCACTGAAATATTTAATGTATGTCATAACTATACTAAAAGTGAAAGGTATGATAAATGTATTTTTTTATATATTGCATATTCTCTTTATGTTATGTTTCATTTTATACTCGTGTCCTTTGTGCCTATCATATGATTTTATAATAAATTGTAAAAATAGTAATAATAAATATATAATAATATAATAAAGTGAAAAGGAATCGACTGGTTTGGTGAGTTGAAAAAGGGAAGACTTTTATTAGTCTGGGGGAACAGCTTGTGTCAAGGCTCAGAAAGGAAGAATCTAAGGGGCTCTGGGAATGGCAATGAGGAGGAGTATTGTAAGATTAATATTTTTGGAATTTTAAGTTGGGACTAGATCATTCAGAGATATTGTGCTGTTACACAGCAAGTATTATTTTAGGTTCTAGGGGGACAGCAGTGAACAAAACTGACAAGGCCTCATTGTCATTTAATTTTTTTTTCCTTTTACTCCTGTTGAGCTGTGATCAGGGAATTTAATATTCTAGTAATATTAGTTTGCAGTAGTGCAGCAGTGTTTCTCAATTTTTTTTTTTTTTCCTGCAGCCCACAATAAGATGTATATGGACATCACTAACTCAATAAACAGTTCACTTGTGTGTACTTCAACATTATGCCCTTAAGGTGTGCATGCACTCTGGCATATATATTTTTCTACATTTACAAAATGAGAAGCTGGTTTGAAGCAATCTGCAGTTTGAAAAGCATTGATCCAGAGGGGAGAAAATAAATACTTAAATTATAACACTAGTAGTGTGAATGGAAAGAAGAAGATAGTTAATTTTTTTAAGGTGTATTATCCCACTCTGTCACCCAGGTTGAAGTGCATGGTCAGCTCACTGCAACCTCCACCTCCCAGGGCTCAGGTGATCCTCCTGCCTCAGCTTCCCAAGTTGCTGGGACTACAGTCACGTGCCACCACATCCAGCTAGTTTTTAAATTTTTTTGTAGAGACGGCGTTTCCCTGTGTTGCCCAGACTGGTCTTGAACTCCTGGACTCAAGCAGTCCTCTCACCTCGACTTCCCAAAGTGCTGGGATTACAGGTGTGAGCCACTGCACACATGGCCCAGAGTGTATTATTATTTTTGATTGACAGATCATAATTGTATACATTGTGTGGTAGGGGATCGTTCATTTTTATACGAAGTTATGTTTGATTATTTTGTGAATGAGGCTTACAGAGGTTAAGTAATTGGCTCAGAGTTCCCTAATGAGTAGCCAGAAGTCTGTTCTTTTGGCCTCTAAAGCCCAAGCACTTATCACTTCCCATTTGGTCATGAAAGCAATATACTGGGTTTTAGTATGGGTGACTGAAGACTAATGTTACTTGTTTATTGTTCAATGAATTGAGTGTATACTAGGCCTCCAGGTGTACTGTATCCGTGTGTATTGGTAGATCTGGTCCTTACTGTCAAGAAATGTGTAATCTGGTAGAGAACATACACATTGAACAAGTATCACAAACGTGTTATGTGCTATGGAGAAAAAGAATGCTGTCAGGGCATGATTGGGGGCAGCCTAACTTATTTGGGAGATACGAGAACGCTTTTCAGGAAGTGGTGTTAAACTTTGCCCACTATGATTTTGGCATTTCTTAGACAATTTTGGATTAATTATGAAAACAACTACTCTCTGAGCAATTGTTTAAAAAAAAAATTAAAAAGCAAACTATGCCCAGAGGATTAGGCTTTAGTTAGTTTGAAGGCACTGAGTCAGAGTGTGGTGTTGGGTAAAGGGATGAGGCATTCAGGTAGAAGAAACTTCATATACTAAGATTCCTAAGCTGAAAGGAGCGGAATTGGAAAAAACAGAAAGCAAAACTCAACAGAAATAGAATGTCTGAGCTGTACGAGTTAATAGAGAAGAGGCAAGAGTTTTGGTGTTAGGATGAGGTTGAATCTTGGCTCTATTTCTTATGATTCGTATACCTTTAGACAAGTTATTTAACCTTAATGCATTTTGGTTTTGTTATCCTTAAAAAGGAAAGTAGGATTTAACAAAATATTTGCTCAATAAATAGCATCTCTTATTATCATTAATAACTAGTAATTGAAGTTATAGCAGTGCAGATGACATGCTTTCATTGATTCTTCAGAAATAATGAGTGTCTGTGTGTGCCAGTCAACTCAATATACAGTAGTTGAATTACACATGTATGTGTATTACATTTAAAGTGTCATAAAACAATATGCTCTTACTATGCAAAGCACTGTGCTAAATTTTTTTTTTCTATTCTATTTTCCGTCTGAAGAAAGGTTCAAGAAACTGGTCTGAAGCAGTCTACAGTTTGAAAATTACTGATACAGTGGAGAAATGATTACTTAGCCCCTTATTAGAGATACGATATGCAAATATTTTCTCCCATTCTCTAGGTTGCCTTTTCACTCCACTGATTGTGTCCTTTGATGCACAAAAGCTTTTAAATTTGATGTAGCCCTATTTGTCTGTTTTTGCTTTTGTTTGCCTGTGCTTTTGGCATTATCCAAGAGTTCACTGCCACATCCAGTATCATTAAGCTTCTCCCTCCGTTTACTTCTAGGAGTTTTATAGTTTTAGGTTTGACATTTAGGTCTTTACTCCATTTGAAGTTAATTTTTACATGTGGTATAAGACGAGGGTCCGACTTCATTCTTCTGCACTTGGATATCCAGTTTTCCAAGCACCATTTGAAGAGACGATCCCTTCCTCATTGAGCAGTCTTAGCACTTTGTTGAGAGCCATTTGACAAGGGAGTTTATTTATGGGTTCTCTATTCCACTGGTCTATTTGGCTGTTTTTATGTCAGTATCACACTTGATTTCTTTCTTTCTTTTTTTTGAGGCAGGGTCTGGCTCTGTCACCGAGGCTGGAGTGCAGTGGCACAATCACAACTCACTTCAGCCTCGACTCCCCAGGCTCAAGCAATCCTCCTATT